TAGTATTGATATCAATATATTATACATATAATACATGTTTAGTTTTTATAAAAACATCGATACATATTATTGTAAAATTAACTACATCTAAAACAATTAAAGCGTGCAACAAGTGCAAACAAAAGAATTATATATATATATTTGTATACAGATGTGTGAAACGAGTGAAATTAGTGTAGTATAAATGATTGCATTACTTCTTCTTCCAATCGTCTGTTTTCTTCATTTGCTACTGGTATTCGAAAACCATTATCCCACCCTAACTCAGTTAAAACTGCATCTATGTTTATAGCCATATTCTATTTTGATTCTTTTTTAAAATAATTCTTTGAAAGATAAATCTTTGTTTGTTCCAAAGATTTAATATACAAAGGAGACATTTGTAATTGTCGTCTTGGCAACCATATATATCGATAATGATAGTGTATAAATTATAGCAAGTTTAGCATTTATTTTACGATAACTGCTTTTATATATTTTTATTTTTTCATTTCTTTTCCATAAAAATATATTTATTAATTTAGATATCTAAGAGTACATATATGTGTTATCTTTTTGATATGCATTATACATAAAATACTGTTCATGTTTCATATTCAATATTTACTAGATTTCTCTCTGAAAGGTAATGTAGTAATTTTATTGATAAAGTTACTTAAACTGAATGGATCACAATCTAGTATATAACTAGATGCAGTGAAAACGTGTTTGCTGTGTTTGACGTGAGACAAGAGTAGAAAAATATTGGGTAACAATGGCGGACGAAGAACTACCAGCGGGTTGGGAAAAACGTTTAAGTAGATCTACTGGTATGTTAGTTCATGTAGTACTTGATAAATAATTTAAAAGTATTTTTACATAATTGCTTATTTGTTTTGTTATCATATAATTGTATAAAGTATATGACATTTCATTATATTGACTGTATTATAGGGTATACGGCCGGCATTTTTCTGTGTAGCTAACATTATATTTACTAAAATTGTATTATTATAAATGTAGTTGTTGAAAAATCATAAAAAATTTAGTACATGTATGAATGCTTTTCCCCTTCATAATGTTATAACCGTTCGCGAAACTAATATGGCGTTAAACGCATTGAAAAACGTATAATTTTCCTGTATATAATTTTATTTTGCGATTAAAAAGGATAATATTTGGAATTTTTATTTTGATAACTTTTACCTTTTATAAAGTGAATGTAATAATGTAATAAAATACTTCATTATAAACATAATAATACTAAATAGTCAACTCTTAATGTCATATGTGGTGTAGCACATCTAAAAATTGCATGATATATTATTAATGCCTTTTTTTATAGGGCAGCATTATTATTTAAATATTTATACTAAGGACAGTCAATGGGATAGGCCAGATAAACCTGCAGATCCATCTGGAAATAATAAAGGGGATGGTCCAGAAGAAGTACAGTGTTCCCATTTGTTAGTAAAACATTCAGGTTCTAGACGACCATCTTCTTGGCGAGAAGAAAACATTATCAGATCAAAGGAAGAAGCACTTGATCTTATCAAATGTAAGATATCAGTGATTTTTACTTTATATAATTTTATTGCAGCAATATATATTACAATTTAGAGTGATAGCTTTTTTACATGGTTTTATAATTATATTCCCAAACTTAGCTTACAGAGAGCAAATTGTATCAGGAAAAGCAACATTTGCTGAACTTGCTTCAAAGTATAGCGATTGTAGTTCAGCTAAGCGAGGTGGAGATTTGGGACCATTTAGTCGAGGTGCTATGCAAAAACCTTTCGAACAAGCAGCATTTGCCCTCAAAGTTGGTGAATTGTCTTCACCAGTTCACACAGATAGTGGTATCCATATCATTCAGCGAACAGCATAAAAAACATTATTTTCAAATAAAGCATTAAATTCTTTAAAAGTTTCCTCAATTTTGCTGGTAAAATATGTTCACAGAGATAGGAGATTTTTGTAATTGCATTCAAAACCTCATATGGTTACCTATGCGATGAAATATTTTTGTGTATGGTCAAGATATATGTAAATCATATATTCTTTCTTTTTAATTCTATATCTAGTTATATATTTATGTCTTCCAGCAATTCTAGCCGAAGTAGTATATTGCAAAATTTTTATTTTAAATTTCTTTGTGATGTGCATGTTTTATGTGCATTTGCATATAGCAAAAGCAACAATAATTTTTAAGAATGACGCAAGTTAAACTAGATTAACTCCATGTACACCTTTAACAATATCCTCTAATCTAATTTACTAACTTTACATTCCTTAAATGTTAGATAAACGTTGAATGAGATTAACAATCGTTTTCATTGCTTTTTGTTTCATTTAAAATATAAAGTATCCTGTTTGAAAAAAAGATTATTTAAATTTCCAATCATCTGTTTTAATTTATTTTAGTATAAGAATCCTTTATTTCCTGCATCAAGCCAATTTGAATATTTACAAACAACACAAATAAAAAGCATGAAAAACGAATTTTGTTATATTTTCTTATATTACAGTAAAAGAAGTGTTCTTAATTTTGACATAAATTATTAAATAAATTTCAAACAAAATGTTTCATCCAACTAAGGTGGATTTAACATAAATAAAATAGAATACGGATATGTATAATTATGACATTTTTGCTCAAGTACAGACAAATATTTATCTCATAATTTTAGCATTATGCCAATTTATTTTATACATCGATATACTACTTTTTATTACTCAGAAGACATTTATATACAATTTAATTCAGGTATTTTAATTTTTTTTTTTCCCCAAGTAAAAATACATAATCAAATACAGTAATTTAATTTTTATTTGCATTTTCTTTAAATTCAAATTGTATATTTCTAAACTTTGTCATCATAGAAAATAGGATTATTTAAAATTAATAATCTACAAATTTTGATGAAGATATGTCATACACATTTTTCGTTTAATTTCAATATTTTAACGAAAATCAGTTTTTAATTTAAATATAATATTAAAGAAACTTGTCTAGCGATCATTACGGTTTGCAACATTCTCGATTTTTCTAGTCTACTATTCATGCTGAGAATTTATTGTTTTTAAAGACTGTGAATATTTGTGGAATACATTCTACTTACTATACTAAGATCTATGTGTTATAATTGTAATAATTATTTCTCATCATTTAGCTTACAATGCATTTAATTTAATCTATATGTATGTACAATATGTATGTGTGAAATACTTTGTTCCTCACAGAAGATGTATTACAAATTAAGTATAATGCCAGTACATTACACAATGCATTTATCTACATTAATGATGCAGCACATTTAAGTAACATAAACATATGGACATTAAATTTTTTTTACACAATTATTATACGAACATTTTGGACTATGTTTTTATTAGAACCACTACTTATGAATAAACTGCTATTTTTTCAATAATAGTAGCCATGATAAATGCATTATTCTATTGAAAATGTACTCAAAAAGCATTCAAGAAACAGTGAAATACACATAACAAACTTTACAATGCAGTTCATTCATTTGTTGTCCTAAAATGACTGAATAATCCAACTTGTACATTTGCTTTCCTTGAGAATAAAGAAGAAAGTGATGATCATTGTTCACAGTATCACAGGCAGTGTAACAGTTTCAATGCAAATTATCGAATGGTGAATTATTAATGCATATATTGCACGCGCTGTACATTATCTACTATTTATGTATAGCGTCCTACAACCGAAGGAAATCCGTTATTCAATCACTTCCCTTTCAACTGGGAACCCCACACAAAACTTGTTTTAAACCATTATATAATGACAAGTATGAGCATATATTCGCTTGTACGAGGGGTCAGAATATGATTGGCATAATGTTCTAGAGGACGTTGCATATTCGCAACGTTGTATCCGTGTTAAATATAAACGATTATCGCAGTTCAGTAGGTCAGCTTAAAGGTGACAAGTTTGTAATGGATTTTTTCGAGATTACTTTCTTTTCATAAAACAATAAACGAAATGTTATTCTCTAGAATTGTGTAAGGGAAGAGATGTTACAAACGGTTTCAAATAAGATTAGTACTTTTTTGTTTTTAAACGATTAGTACATTATTTTATCTGTTTTATTGCCGTTACACATATCGAATATCTTTGAAGGGAATTGTTGCTAATCATCCACAAAGTTGTATAATTTCAATTTTCTCTCATGTTTAACCTATTTGTTAATTTATTCTTGCAAATTGATTAGCATATTCGAATTTAATAAGTAATTTTCGAACAATTTTAATCCTTTGCACTATGATTTACTTACCGGATTTCTGTGCACGCAACTACTATAAGAAATATAATGCATTTAATTTTACAATAAATTTATTATCAAAAAATAACGAAAATTATCTTAAAGTATAAGAAGTAAAGTATAAAGCATAAAAGATATTTTTTATTCTTTCTGCTTTGTGTGAACATGTTTTGTTACTTCAAGAAATAAAAACGAATAAGGTAAAAAAGAGGAAATTCTGAAATATGATACGCTTCTGACGCACGAATATAATAAAACTAGATATAATACACCGGATAAAATACGCGCGCAACTTAATTGGCTACTACGCATGCCTACTACGACGCATTATTTTCCCTCCAATTCCCACAGCTAAAATTATAATCTAATATGAGCAATTTTGTTAATTTCTATCTTTACTGATATAAACTACTCTATATTTTATAAAATTAACCATAGTCTATCGCGATATATATTTTAATTGTGATGACCTCTTCGAAAGCAGCGTTGAATATCCAATACTTTTACTGTTTACAATTATTTATCACTACATGTAACATAAATTGACGTATGTAAATGATTTCATCATAACTGCCTAAGCCAGTCAGCTTCACTGAGGCAATTCTAATCTTTAGTAGTTGTTTATACACTCTTACATTAAAATGACTTCTCTACGCGTCAGCAATGGGGAACGCATCGAATTTCATTTCGCAACGACAATTATGAAAGTGGCCTAACGGGGAAACTTTCTCAACCCGAAAATTCGAATTTTAATTAGAGGCATTAAGAAACAAATATTATTTAATCCATACAAAAATGAAAAATTGAAACCTAAAGAAACCTAAACTTGAGTTATTTTTTAACCCCTGAGACAAATTGTATGTATGTTGTATGTATTTGATTACTTAATCGGAAGTGTAGGAAGGCTCGCCTTGTAATAAACATACAGATCGGCCGTTCGCGTACCCTGGCGAAGGCGCTTTGGATTTTTCTTACAGAAGAATTCGTAGAATCCGTTTCCGGTGTATGTACATGCTCCGAATCTAGATACTGATTTAGAAAAAATATGTTTTTCATAACCGATATTGCTATCGGAGTGAAGACATGTGTAATAAAAATTGATAACATCCAATTCAACGAGAGCTTCGATTTTATCTTTTAGATATATTTCAACACAGAATTAGCGAATGCTGTATAAACAATGAGTTTTATCAAGACAATTGGTATTATCTGTAAAAACAAATTTATAAATAAAGAAAATCTCCATTATTCAAACTACAGGGGGAATGCGATTGTTGTCATGGTACAAAATTCGTTTTTCCGATTACGATTTATGCGGACTTTAAAAACTTGTTGGAATATGGAACACGAATATCATTAATAGAAATAGAAAAAAAATATTACAAAATGGCGACTTGCTTTGAATTTATGATTAAAAATTTCTATTAAATAGACCTTTCAAATCTTTGAAGCTGTAGGAACTACATAGTACATACATGATATGTATGAGATATGTGCATACATATATACTTATGTATGTAGCTGTGACCAAGTATCGGTGATTCATTACAGATAAGCGTACCGTTGAGAAACTGAAATAACCTATATTTTATGTTCACATATTAAATGTTTATCATGAACTATTTTGCTTGCACAAATTGACCATCTAGAGCTGTTATTAGCTGAATTTTATTGAGCATGATTCACATTTGTTACGACTATTTTCTCAGAAATAAACAAACAATAATAGCACTTATCTGAAGATGGATTGTAGGATTATACTATATGGGATGAGCGTTGTTATGGTTTGTGCGATTTTTTAATCGTTTACGATACCAAGAGGAAAAACTTATAAATAAACGTTTATCTTTTTTAAAGGTTAAATTAAGAATTCTTTTATTTCAGATTGTTTTTTCAACTTTTGTGGAATTCGAAATTTACAAAAATTTTAATGAATTTCTACTTGAATGTAAATAGTAGTGATTGATATGTAATATTAAGATAAGATACTGTGTTAAAATGTTCAATCTTAGAGAGTGTTTGAATTTCCTTTCTTAATACAAATCTGTCTCCGAACATTTAGTTTACCATACTTCAAGTTCTAATTATTTTTTGTTCAAGATCTTTAACATCTACTACGACTGCTCATCAATCATTATAAATAGAAATCCTTTGGAGATAAGTCGGACCACTGATATAGTCTATGTATACACGATCTTCAGAAACAGTACAAAGGTAATTTGAAACTATTATGTATGGTATGTGTGCTTAGCACTAACCCAATTTTTATTTTAGTAGTTGCTATGTTTGCTATTATTTATCGAAATGATTCTAGGCAAATATTTCCAACATTATGACAAGTAATTTTTTTTTCGCTTAATGCGTACGAACTTTAATTTTAAATAATTTTCATAAATTGAAAAATTATTTAGTGATTAATGCGAAACAGGATAATGTACTGAGTGCATTTTTACAATTTTTAAATCGCTTTAGAAATGGTATTGAACAGAAATTGGTCTAATTTTAGTTAAAAACAATACAGTAAATTCTCTACAAGAGTGAGTAAGTTTGGATTCTACAAGTGACAGTACAGATGGTCCTACGCCTAGGTCTGCGTCAT